TTGTTCTTCCTGACATTTCGCCAGTCTCTGTGGCCGGCATCTTCAGAGGACTGGAGCAAGGACAGAGTTCCTACTCTAGTCGTCTGAAGATGCCAGCCTCAGAGACTGACGAAACTTCAGGACGAACAACCTTCAGAACATGGCCAAAGAACCTGAAAAACCCACAACAACCATCAGAAAAATTTTCTATTGGAGGATCAAAAAGAAAATAGAAGATGTCTAAAACTGTAAAAAAGATAATTGGAGCCAATAAAGGGAAAATAGCTCAGCACATTCAGCAACATTTTTCAATCCCTGCTCTTCTTCACTGTAGTCTACTGTGTATGGTAGTACCTACCATAGAAGTCAGGCAAAAACAAAACAAAATGAAGACAACAAAAATAAAGAAGACACTGAAGAAGTGAACTTGTCCACAAAAGCTCACATTAAAATATAGCAGTTTGTCTTTATGATGCCCCACTGTTTCTTTATTCTTTTATTTTTGTTTTGATTTTGCCTGACATGCTAGGACAGACTAACACGGCTACCTCTTCTACGGTAAAACTGCCATAGAAGGGGGGGATCACACTATAGTGGCAGTGGCAGAAGAAGTAGGACAGAGGGCAGCTTTCACAAAAAGCAATGCCTTTTTATTTAGGCTGGGCATCTTTGGATTTCAGTGTATCTATAATTTCTTGTTTGGATTTTGTAGGCTATATGAATAGTATGTGGTATGTATAATACTATACTATGTCGTAGTCCATATATACTATTTCGATGAAACCCTTGCTTGCTTTTGATATCTTGCTAATCATGATGCTGCAAATGTTGTGCATAAATATACACTTCTGACTCTGACATGGTTGTCTGGTTCCTGAAGATGCAGAATTTAGCTTTCTCTGTTACCCTTTCTTACAGATTTAAAAATGCTCTTTAAAAAAGGTGACGTGTTCATCTTTTTTGTGCACAAAGATCTCAAATGGATTTACTGTTTTGTTTTGTGTGCCACCTTGTGTTGACTTCCCAGTTAAATTGTTGGACTGAAGTATATGCTCGCGTGGCTGCTACAGTCCCTGACTCAATGCATTCTATGTTTACCTTAAGCCAAATAGAGTTCCCTGCCCCAAAAATGTTAGGATGAAATCCAGCATTATATGAACAGGCATCCATTTATACACTGGGACTTCCTCTTCTCTCCCAGGTTTGTTACAAAACAGATTTTAAGGGGTTGGTGGGAAAGAGTGGTCATATAGACCAGACGGGCAGGATATAAATCAAATGAATGAATGAATGAATGAATGAATGAATGAATGAATGAATGAATGAATAAATAAATAAATAAATAAA